TTTGTGTCTGGCTTATTTCACTTAGTATAGTATCCTTAAGCTTCACTCATGTTGGAGTATCCTGTACTCTCTTTTAGATACACCAGTTCACATTTGGTAGCTGAGTTTTTAGGAGAGAAAGTACTTTTTAAAAAAGTACTTAGAAAAAAGTACTTTTCTTAATTTGCTTTTCATTAGACTCATGAAAGTCCAGGCTGGTGTATGGGTCTTGGCAGAACCTCCCAGGGTCTTGGTTACAGTCTTTCTGGTTCTCACAATTATGAAAGCTCACGAGTGGAGGAAAATCCCATGATTGAATGCATCATTATGCCAAGAGCCACCTTTGGGCTGTAGGACCTGTTGACACACGGTGTCCCATTGGGAGCTGGAAGTCATGCAGCTTCGAGGGTACAGCCCAGGAAGTGATTGAGGGCTGAGACCCAGCAAACGCTGGGTATGCTGTTCAAGATGGTATCATTCCTCTCTTGGGATTTTTGCTGGCTTAGCTCTGGTCTTAATGATCAGCCTAGATCAATGTGCTCAAATGCCAGTTCACAAACTACTTTTCTGGCAGACAGAGCCCTCTTAACCTGTCAGTCAGCTGCCTTTGTCACAAGTGGGTTTGGCATATAGTGCTGAAGGTCATGGAATTTTGTTAGAGCGTTAGTGAAATGAGACATTTGTGACACCCTCATTGTGGTATTTCTGCTAATTATGAGCCCACGTGTCTGTCTTTCACATATGGTGAGCCTGATTGCTTTTTCTAGCCTGGGATTTTGCCTTGAGATTCTTTTTGTTTGTTTATTTCAAGTTTTTATTTAAATTCTAGTTAGTTAACATATAGTGTAATATGTTGCAGGGGTAGAATTTAGGGATTCATCACTTACATATAACACCCCGTGCTCATCACAAGTGCCCTCCTTAATGCCCATCTCCTCCCACCCACCTCCCCTCCAGCAACCTTCAGCATGTTCTCTATAGTTAAGAGTCTGTTTTACGGTTTGCCCCTCGCTCTCTTTTTTCCGCCCTATGTTCATCTGTTTTGTTTCTTAAATTCCACATGTGAGTGAACTCAAATGGTATTTGTCTTTCTCTGACTGACTTATTTCTCTTAGCATAATAGCATAATAAACGCTCGTTCCATCCACGTCATTGTAAATAGCAAGATTTCGTTCTTTTTTATGGCTGAGAAATATTCCATTGTGTTTTTATATATATCATACCACATCTTCTTTATCCATTCATCAGTTGATGGACATTGGGGCTCTTTCTGTAATTTGGCTATTGTTGGTAATGCTGCTATAAACATCAGGGTGCATGTGTCTATTTGAATCAGTATTTTTGTATCCTTTGGGTAAATACCTAGTAGTGCAATTGCTGGATCGTAGTTCTCTTTTTAACTTTTTGAGGAACCTCTGTACTGTTTTCCAGAGTGGCTGCACCAGTTTGCATCCCTACCAACAGTGTAAGAGGGTTCCCCTTTTGCCACATCCTTGCCAACATCTGTTGTTTCCTGTGTTGTTGATTTTAGCCATTGGCCTTGAGTTTTGTTTTTTTTTTAATTTATTTATTTGAGAGAGAGACAGCGAGAAGAGAGCATGAGCACGGGGTAGAGGGAGAAGCAGGCTCTTCACTGAGCCAGGAACCTGATGCGGGGCTCGATCCCAGGACCCTGGGATCATGACCTCAGCCGAAGGCAGATGCTTAACCGACTGAGCCACCCAGGCACCCCTGGCCTTGAGATTCTTAGTGAAATACCATCCACAGCTTTCTTCCATGAAGTAGGATAGACAAGAGTTTAGTGCCAGCAGACTGGAAGAGGAAACGGGGAAGATGAGCCATGATGTGTATGTGCTGGTACAGTGAGCCGGCACTGGAAGCCCTGGTCTGGTCTTGGGCTCATTACTAACTAGCCTTGTGATGCTTAGGCAAGTCCCCTCACCTCTGAAGGCCTCCATCTCCTCAGCCCCTCCTTCTGCCCTGTCCACCCACAGCATGGAGGATCCCATTGGGAAAACGTTGATTGCTGTACTTTGTAAATGGTAATTTGCTATCCCAGCATCCTACCCTATGAGCACCATTGTAATAAGGTGATTAAAACTCACTCTGGTAGGTGTAAGGGGGCCCTAGTGGCCACTTCTCATGGCAGTGACCATTTACAAGTCACCAACGCTTAAGTGACCGAGTGTAGAGAGCCCCCGACCCCTCTCCCCCTGCATGTGTCATACCTACACTCCCCTCCTCTTGATTTGCCACATGAACTAGTGGTTTCCTTTTTTTTTTTTTTTTAAGATTTTATTTATTTATTTGACAGAGACACAGCAAGAGAGGGAACACAAGCAGGGGGAGTGGGAGAGAAAGAAGCAGGCTTCCCACTGAGGAGGGAGCCGGATGAGGGGCTCGATCCCAGGACCCTGGGATCATGACCGGAGCCGAAGGCAGATACCTGACTGATCTACCCAGGCACCCCGAACTAGTGGTTTCCAGGGTAGCTTCAGCAACTCCTGTGAAGATCTCAGTTAGCTTCTTCTCTAAATTCCTATGGTTAATAAACACTTTCAGGTAATTTCATTTAACTCTTAAAAACCAACTTTGAGCCTTGAAGGCCAATGGAGCATCACCAGATGGAGGGGGAAAAAAATGAGTTTGCTGCCTCCCCAACTTGCAGCCACTAGGGCCATATCCATTGGTCTATTTATAGTCATGTATGTCTCTTAAGACACGGTCTCAGGAGGTTGGAGCTAGGTAAGTTCGTAGAGGCCATAAAATATGGCTTTTAATTTTTCCCCTGTGTCCTTCACACCAAGGACAGTTCTCAGTAGGTACTTAATGAATCTTTGAATCCCCAGACAGTTAGCCATGTTGAGGGACCATCCAAAAGAAGCCTGTAGACTATCTGGCTAATGAGCTCCAAAGCTTTGCAATTAGCATGATGGGAACCAGCTTAACTTGAGCTAAAAAGAGACTGTAGGTGAATTCATCATTGACAGTGGGGGCCGGGTAAGAGCAGGTCGGTGGGCCAGTCCAAATCTCTCTCCACGACTGGAGTATCCATTATGTGGGCAGCGTGGCAGAACGACTAGAATAGTGATCAGTGACTTAGGTACGTTAAAAGGATGTTGTAGAAATCGCGGAGTAGATCTCTATCATGCAGAGAATTTTCCTTATCTTAAACCACTGGATTTACCTGACCTCAGTTCCCCACATTCACGCCATGCCTGGTGTCTCCTCAGTGTTCAGCCAAATCAAGGTCAGGATAAAGAGGAGATTTGGTTGGAAGTAAGCTGGATATTCAGGCTCCTGCAGTAATACTCAATTATTGAATTCTCTCGAAGCACCAACTCCGATATAATGAAGTCCTCGGTTTTTAAATATCTTTAGAAATCAGGTGACTCAGGATTGGCAACAGCCAGCTTGCTGTTTCCTGCTTTCTTATAAAAATAAGATGGTAAAAATCCCAGGGAGTTGGCTGGAGTTGTTAAAAGATAATCTTGAGCATTTTAATGCACATTATTTTTCATGCATCTTTGAGCCTTAAGAGCCTCCATGGAATAGGACAGGAGTCAGATGGAAGAGAAATCAGCTTGCCATCGTCCTGCGGCCCTGAGACCCCAGCCAGATCCGGTGTCCCGTGCAGCCTGGCGCTCGACTACACCTGCCCGAGCTGAGAGGCATGTAGGAAGAGCTGTAGCTTTGATGCATTCTTCTCACTTACTCTGAGTATAGTCAATCCCAAACAAAATAAAACAAAAAGGTTTCATTTACATCAAGGTTCGTAGGGTGTGTTTTCTCGGACGTTTGGCATTATTTCAACGTCGAAAAGTATTTCTATGCGCTGTAGCTCTTTTCTCCCTCTCTCTCCGCCCCTCACCCATCATGTAACGTGTCCCCGTACCTGCAATGCTGTTCGTACCTCTCTGTAACGAAATTTGGGTCAGCAGAATGTGTCGCTGGTGTTTCTCCTTGTTAACAGTATTGATTGCCGTCCTGTATGACCAGAGACCCTGGTTGACTGGGAAAGTGTTCACGACGTGGCCTTTCAGAGTTCTTACTCTGTGTGCGCATGCCCACCAGATTTACAGCTCTGTCAGACCACCTTCTTATTTTTCTACTGTGATTGACAGTGCCTTAACCAGTATCACTTGCCATGGACGGTCTTGGGTTGGATGTAGTAACATGTTTGACTAAGTGCTTTCTAGCATGAATCTAAACCAGTCCTTGATTTAGAATAGCCAACTTCCCACTCCCAGGATATTTTACTGAGACTGTCTTGGTTATAAAGTTTTTCACTGGGTGTCTTAAAACAGTGAAAATGCTTATCTGTAAATGTAGTAAAGTGTCTGTATATATTGATCTTCCTTATTTTCTTGCCTCTCTCCTACTGCCAGACTATGGTGGTAGCCACATCAGGAAAATGTTTTGTAGGGCATGGGGGGCAACATTTTAAGCATAGAAATGGAAAGCAGGGTACCAAGCAAGAGGATGGGGGACGGAGGGAGTCCGTCAAAGCCATTTCTGTGCATTAAGGGTTCGGGGAGGAGAAAGGCCAGAGGCCAGGAAAGGCAAGTTTTCGTTCGTCACAGGCAGGTGTCACTAGGAAGTGACGGAAAACCCACGTGGCCCCAGAAGACACGGATAGAAGTTCTCTGCCACGTGAATTCATAAAATGAGGAATCCATTAGCAGCCATTCTTAAGTGATACGTTGTGATGTTGAACTCTGTGAACGTGCCGTTTCGTTTACCTGCAAATGATTTCAGTGCTCAGGAGGGAGAAGGGTCAGGACAGGAAGCAGAATGAATACCCACGCAGACAGGTTCCGCACTGTGAAATGCGGAGCCAGTTCAACTTAAAACAAACCTGGTGGGTTTTAAAGATGCGTTTTCAGAGGGTGTAAATAACGCGTACTTGGGAAAGTGTTTTGCGGCCTTCTGAGGGCTCTGTATGGAGAGGCGGCTGTTCCGAATGCAGGTGAGTGAATGTCCACGAGCCCACATTTACACTGGTTTTTCTTCTGTTGCAGCACATCAGGTCCACCCATCTGGCCGGGCAGTACCTTCTTCAAGAGAAATGGAGCCCTTCTGCAAGGTAGGTCTCCGGGAGCGCCCCCTCCCCGCCCCCCCGGCCCTGTGCCCTTGTGCTGGTAGCAGCCAGGGGAGCTCTGCCCTCCTTAGGAGTGGGCACTGTCTGGAGAAGTGTGACTGCTGTGGGTTGGGGCTGTTTGTCCAGTTCTCTTTATTTCTTCCTACTCATGTCTCCTGGTTGCTGTGAACTGTTAGCCCGAAAGCGGGACTAGTTCTTTGGTCTGCCCCACCTGGTCCTGTTTCGGAAGTATTCGGCTTGCTTTGGTGAAACTGGAATGACGTGGCAGTCGGGATATGAGAGTAACATGAACTGAGCTGGTCAGCTGGTGAAAACACCCCCCTTTAGGTATTCCCAGTGCTCGGGCAAATGAATGTTTGGGGTGTTCTGGCATTTTGGTGAATGTGGTTCCCCTATTCCTCGCTGGCCCCTAATATTGGCATGCGCCTGGAGGGTTGGCTGTGGGGTGTTCCAAGGCTCAGAGTTCAGTCACCTCACTCCTGTCCCCACCAGCGGCCTCTGCAGGGGGATGTCCTTCCCGTTGTCCAGCCCACCCTTTGCTGCTTTGCTGTCAGTCCTATCCCAAGTCCTCAAGGAATTCCAGCTGCCTGTCCATCTCTGCTTTGGCTATTAAGTTTCTTTTGAAATGACTGAATAAAGTGAAAGAAGAATAAATGGTTACAAGTAGCCATAAGATGCCTCCTAGATACTTCTGGATTATCACTGCTTCGTAGGTCTGCTGTGCAGATAAGTTGGAATCGGTGGGCTCCTGAGGTTTCCAGTTTCCTGTCCCCATTAACCTCCATGGATCAGCTGGGTGTCAGAGCGGCACAAAAGCAGACGGCTCTGGTGGTCCCGAGAGCTTTAGGACTGCACTGGGCTTCCAGCGCGGAGTGGTCTGTGCGTTTTGGTCGGTTGAGAGCCGGTAAGCCTCTTCCCTGAAAAGTACATGCCGAGGGCCAGCCAGGTGTGTGAAGGAGTGGAATATAAATGTGACTGAGAAAAGGGATATTTATCTTCAGGTTTCTTGTACCTCAAAGAGATGGCTCACATTTCTGTTGTTGTTTTATAAGCCGTGTGATCACATATTGTCTTTTTAGTAGCCTATGGAATTGGCGACTGAAGGATTTCCTTGCCTGTTTGCTTGGGACAGGTGAAATTTAGGCAGGCAGGTTTGACTAATCCTCATTTTAATGACCATTATAGATATCCTAAATATCTAAGGAAAAAAGGGAACTTCCTCCACTCTCAAAGATTAATACATAATTTTAAAAATTCCGTTCTCCCTTCAGTTGGCAAATGGAAACCAATTATGATAAGCCTTGGGGAGTTTTTTCAAGTGAATTTCAAAGTTTTGTGCATATTTATTTTTCCTCTAGATCTATAACAATGATATGAATATCATTCGTGTTTGGATTATTTTCAGAAGAGGGATTTTATTTAGTGAGCACATTTTCTTACAGAATTTTTACTCATTAAGTTTCACATTAAGTAAGACTTGCTCTTAGGATATTAGTTTCTGGTTGTTTCTGCCGGACGCGAAAGCATGAAGAAAACATCAATAAGGTTCTGAAGTTGAGTGATTTCACCATGAGATTCTATCTCATAGGTGTGGACCTTTTTTCTCTCTCTGATAGGGTCTAAAATTCTAATTATTCTGAGCTCTGAGAACCACATTATTATAGATTTCAGATGCTTATTCAGTCCACATCCACTTCAATGCAGCCCTCCTGTTTTTTTTTTTAATTTTAATTTTAATTTTCTTGTACATGTGAAAATCAGAAGACTCTTGGTTGGAGTTTGAGAAGGTGGGCAAGGATTTGCTCATTTTTTCCTGTGATATTTCTTTGCTCTATATTTGCTATATCTGTATATAGAGTTCTCAAGACACTTTCATGGTGCTGAGATTTTTCAAACTATGTGCCTATTCTCCCTAATTAATATTTTTGTGTTCCTTCGGTGGGTGGTACTGGTTCATCAAGAAGTTGCTAACGCCCATGAGCAAAAGTTGTACAATAAAAATATAGGTATATAAAGAAGGGAGCTGCCCAGTCATGCCAGTGGACGGTTTGGGTTAGACTCAAGTAGAAGAAAAAGTACCTGATTTTATACTCACTTTCTCGTCTTTATACTTTACATTTTCAAACTATGCGCACGTTCCTTCTTTTCCCCTGTAACAAGCAGGAGGGCATTGGTTCTAGGTAGTTAGGCTAGGAAAGAACTCTGTTAGTAGGTCCCAGCCAATCTTGGGACTGAAGGCAAACAGGATGCCCTGAAGAACCCGCTTCCTAGAACAGGGGTAGAAGGTGACACAGAGGCCCGGGGACCGGCCGGCAAAGCCCAGCTGACTGTGGTCCCCCCTCACGTGCACAGCTGGCTGACCCGGGGCTACAACACGGGGATCATTGGGGAGAACCCCGCTGTGTGGAGTGGCCCTGGGAGTTGAGACTAAAAGAAGGTAGGCATGGCCGAAGCAGCAGATGTGTCACACCGTTTGGAGGAGGGAGGCTGATTTTTGTCAGGAGGGTGGGAGAGTAGGGCTGTCAATTAACCCTTGAACGAGGCCTTGAAAAATAGATTGTGGGCATGTGGAAACAGAACAAAGGGCATTGCGAGAAGGAAACAAGAGTCGGTAGGCAAGAGGGCACACGGCGAGGGGGACGTTATGTGGTGGTTGTGAACAAGGAATGATTCGTGGACACGTTGGGATGGCGACAGCCCATGTTCTCAGCAAGATATGCTTCAGAGCACTGTGATGTCCAGAGAGGACACGGTGGAAGTTAGACCCTGAAACCCATGGAACAATAGGACATAATGGTTACGTAATGGGAACCTGTGTGTGTTGTCTAGTAGTTGTTTGGTTTTTTAGCTGTCGAGAAGAAACATAGGAGTTTTTTTTTCCCCCCAGCATAAAACCAATTGCAAGAACTAACTGGAAGGAAGCACTCAGTCCTACTCGAGTGTGGCCTCTGTTTGGTTCTTTCAGAGTCACTGGCAAGAGGGCCTGCTGAGTCATCTGGCAGTTTTGAGGATAATGGGGTAAGATTTGGTTTAGATTACACCAGGCATGGGTACTTAACATAATGGGTCACTTCATCAATTCACAGTATTTATTTTAAATGCCATTTAAGCTGCTAGAGACAATTTTAGGATGTTAGCGGTTTCAGGGACCAGAGAGTACTTCGGTTCTCGTACAATGGAAACCTTGTCGTGTGCCAGAAAGGGACAAACCCTTTGTTTAAAGGAGATCCAGGACGGGTCCAAACAGATGAGTGTGGCTTATTCGGAGCCCTGCAGGAGTGGCCAGCTGACAGGTGTCTTCAGCTGTCCCCTGCTCATGTCTGTGTGTCCCTGTTTTGGTCTCTCTGTGTTTGAGATACATTTTTTATTTTATTATTAATAATGTCTCTCTCTCTCTTTTTAATGAGAGAGTAAAGCGTTTTATATATTTTTTTCTTTTCCAAACGCCCTAGCACCCCCCCCCCCCCCCCCACTTACACACACACATTCCATTCACCCATCAAACTTAAAATTAGGTTACTTTATTTAAACATCACCCTTGGATGGGTTACTTTAATGAGTCAGTGATTCCTAATTAAAGACATTCTTCGCCCCTGGTCTGACCCTTCATCTGGTCCCAGGAGGTTTCATCCCAGCGCTACGTAGGGCCTTGCTATGCTTTTCGCTTCCTGCCTTCTACTCAGAGTTCCTACAAGCTGCTGTCATCTTGGCTTCCGCTTCCGCCCTTTTGGCCTTCGTTGGGCCCGTCGGCCTCAGAACTCCCGTGCGGTTGTGTTCAGAGGGAAGCCTTTGCCTCTAGTGCTCTGTGCCAACTGCCCGTTTGGGCCCACCTGTCTCTTACCTCTAGCCCTTCCTCTGAGCAGGTGCTCCCCGGGCCCACCCCCACTACCCCACCTGCAAGCACTTCTTTCTTACCCATCTCTGTTTCAGCCACCGGATTGGGCTGGAGTTACCCAGGGGGGCCCAGGGCCCGCCCCCTCAACCCCTTACAGCTCATTCTGGGGTCTGACTGCACATCCCAGTCTTTGTGGTAGAGCTGCTTGGGCACGGATGCTGCCACCCCCCAGGCCCCCTTGCTAACACCCTGCCAGCCTTCTGGACCCTCCCTCCGCCTTCCTTCTCTCCAGGACAGGGCCACTAATTACTAGTAAATCTGTTTCCTTAGGACGCAGTGGTGGAATTAAAATAAATTCCATAACACGCATAACAGATTTTTATTTCCATTCACTTCTCACAACCCACTGGATGAGCTAATGAAATGGAAAGAAGACCTCCAAGGCACTTTCAGGGCACAGAGCAGGACTGTGCTGCTGCAGGCCCACAAGCAGACAGGGAAAAAGGAAACCAGCTCTTTTGCTGTCAGATGCACACTGTTTCTAGGAGTGCATAGATGCGCGCTTGCCATTGGTCAAACACCGATGAGGTTGACCGTGACCACTGGACAACTCGCTTTGGGGAATGCCAGTTGCCCAAGTTCCAGGTTGGCTTTAGACGCTCCCTTTCCTGGGAGTTTATGTCCACAGCCCTGACCCTTTGCCACGGCTCTGCTATGCATTTTTACTGTTCAAATGTATGCTGTACCTCACTTTGGCAGTATTTCCTGCCCCGAAAGGCTCAAGAGCAAGTATTCAATGTATCAGAAACAAGTTCTAGGGGGCGAAGCACTGGATGACGAGCAAGGGGGCCTAGTTGTGGGCCCGGTGCTGCCACTGGGTAAACTTTGTGACCTTGAGCAAGCCACAGGGCATCCTGAGTTTTTCCTGTTCTTACGTGTGAATTAAGGCGGCAGCGGTTTCCCATGGAGCACCAGCTCTGCTCCATTCTGGCAACTTGTTTCCTAAAAGCGGCTCAAAGTGGATTTCAGGCTTAGCTCTAGCTCCATAGAAAGAGTGCTACCTTCAGCCAGCTGTGTCTGCAGATGGGTCCAAGAAGAGGAAACAGGGTCGTGGCAGCCTGGCTGAAGATTCCAGTCCTTGAACAAGACA